TACAATCTGCATTATTTTTTCCACTTTGTTATTTATATATCCTTCATACAGAATCCTTACAAATGAATAAACTGATTCTGTAACACTGTTAATTTTATCTTTCCATACACTTGTCACGATTACCGTTAATTTTGATAGATCTGATCCTGATAGAAAAATTTTACTAATCTTCCCCCTTCACCCCGAAGCAAGAAGAAACTAATATCACCAACAGATTGGGATATATATAAACTTTTACTAGAGTTCATCAAATGTTACATTGCTATTTTGACCAATGGAAGTATCACCACCCCTAAAGAATGTACATTATTATATTTCCCTAATAAAAAAAAATATAAAAAAAAACAGAAATTTACTTTACATGAGAGTTGTTTAATAACATCTAACTTGTTTATCTGATATATTATGAACTCAGCCATAAAGATAAATTAACCCTAGTCACCAGTTTACTGTACATTGTATCATGTTTTCCTCATAATAACTCCAAACACAGGGAGCTTTCTTATCGTTGAGAAAATTACATTCATACACCACACATACATTTACACACATGCACCTCCATACCCAGAGCCATTCAACCACTTGAACACCCAGGTGTTCTTGTGCCATCCCTGCACCAACTAAACGTTGAACCATAACAAAAGTTAAAAAACAAGCTAAGTGAATACAATTTAAAATATTATCTATAAAACTGTGTACACAGAAACAACACAACACTTGTTATTCGTAATTGTTTGTGGCATATATACAAACTTTTACCATCATCATCAGATGATACATTATAATTTGACACAGAAGTGTCTCACCACTCAAAAAAAAAAAAAAAAAAAAAAAAAAAAAAAAAAAAAAAAAAACAAAATTACTGTACATGAAAAATTTAAGAACCACGAAATCGTTCATCTGATATATTATGATCTAAGCCAGAAAGTTAAATTAAACCTGAACATCATTTTACCTAACATATCTTGAGTTCCTCATAATAACGCCACACACCGGGAGTTTTCCTATCTAATATACATTACTTTTAACACAAACACTACATTCACACACATTCACTCCATACCCAAAGCAATTCACACGTGCACACAGTTTTACGTGTTCCATTCCTACAACAGCAACCGGAATCAGACTAGTTACCACCAACCATAATCCATTACACTACATACCATCCACCCTTGTCATTCGCTAAAACCATTCCACATATACGCCACCACCACTGAAAACCCCTGAAAACCCGACTACCAAAGAATACCAGTCCCCTACATGGTTTTCACTGTACCAATTGCTGGAGACGACTGACTGTAATCTCTCTGTAGTTCTCTGGAAAACAAGCTCCCCACTGACTCCCATAAATAAGTTTGTTCCTACGAGCAGTCCTGTATATACGCGCTGCTATTGCCTTAATTCGAATCATACCCCAGCATCTCTCATTCCCCAGGAAATATACAGAAAATCCACTACCACATACATAATCGCCTTTTTACCTCCCGTGATACCCTTTTACCTCTAATGTTTAAAGCTCGCAGGGTCTCTACATTTACCCCCACCTAACAGACGAAAAAACCCTCGCCAACCACATCCGTACCTCCCTCAATTCTTCACAAAAATAAACTGCATGAAATGCCGTTTCCAGCTCACCACAGGACTGCAGGACGGTTCCCTCACCAAACCCATTAAACTCAAACTGCTTTTGAAGCTAGGATCCCCATCATGAATCTGTATACCAACTCACGTACCTAGGCATTAACCTGAGCCTCCTGAAGTTTCTTCCATATCGTCCCCCAATCATACAATGGATAGACCGATACGCCCTGCAGGATTTCCTTCCTCCCACTCAATGATACCAAACGCCCCACTTTAAGTCGCTCAACATCTTTAACCAATAACAAAACCCTCAGCATATCCTCACATTCAATTAACTCTTTACTCCCCACCATCTCCGCACATCCCCCATCACCTTCCCCACTCTTACCCTCTTTCTCCTCCAGCCCTAACGAATGACTGTTTTACATATATCGCTTTCACCCTCGGCCCCAGTGCTAAAAAGACCCACACCCCCTCTGCGTACATTCGCATCACCACTTCCTTGCTCAGCCATGCTCGCCCAAAACCCCAAACATAACGTAGAGCACGTCTCTGTATTTCTTGTACGTCCTGTGTTCTCAAAGGTTACACTTCTGCTATACCCCAAACCTTACTGTAAACCAGCGAATTAACTATTACCGCCCTCTGCTGTAATGTGACATCTCCGCCCGTAAACCCCGTAATCTACTCACTACTTTCTCCACTACCCTCTCTGAATTTACCTGCCTAGCCTCCTGCGCATTCGCATGTATAAAACTCCACAAATCTTCAAATTATCCACCACTGCCCACCAAACTCCAACCCCAAGCCCCCCCCCCACCCAAGCACCCACCTCCAGTAAACACGATTTCGCCCTATTTACTCTCATTCCCGACACCTCCCCAAAAATCCCCAACACCCTCCCCACCATACGCAATTCCTCCACCCCTTCTATCAGGATAGTGGTATCATCCACATACCCCACAATGCCTGAGCGCCCTTCCCTCTCCCCATTTAAAGCTCCCACCCCTCAACGAGCCCATAGAACGGATGTTGCATGCACGCAACAGAATTTGTGAAAGAGGGCCCCCTGCCGTAATCCCTCTCCATTTTAACCAGCCTTCCCAATCTGCCATTAACTTGGACCCGTACCATAGCCGCTGAGTATAGCGTATCAACCCACCTCGCCACTCCCAGTCCAAACCCCAGACGCAACAAACAAGCCCTCAAAAATTTTCTATTCACACAGTCATAGCATTCTCCCAATCAATACCCAAAAGTCCTCCCCCCTCGCAACCCTCCAAAAGTCCCTTATGCGCCCATGCCCAACTCTCATACTTCGTCCGGTATACCCATCTGTCCCTATGTACAACCGCACCAATTACCTTCTTCATCCTATTACTATATCTTTGCAAAATCTTTGTAGTCAGCACACATTAGTGAGATAGCTCTATATGCACTTAAAACACTTCCCACTTGCTTTTTCCGAACCAACACCACACTCCAATACTTTGTGTTTGACTTAGCTTGCCCTCCCGCAGCATACAATTCATGACCTCACCAGACAAGTCTTAATATGCTCCCAATGAACTCTGTAAAAATCATTTGGAAATCCCATCGATGCCCGGCGCTTTTCCAGTACTCATGTTAAACACTGCCTCCTCACTTCCCCACACTAATCGCTCCTCCCATCTCCATCCCTCCACTTCTTTCTGCCCTAACCCACACCCCCCTCCAACACTTCCTCAAAAGCATCGCCCTCCCCCCCCTTTCTCCATTTCTCTCGAAACCAGAAATCAGTATAATTACTCATGCCTTCTGTAGTAGTAAGCACCTGTCCCTTATGATATCCACCCATATCCTCACTAACCTCTAATTGCAACATAGTTGACTCCTTCTGCCTTACCCTAAAACGTCTTAAACACTTCCCGAAGGTTTATCCCCACACATACAGCCTCCAATCCGCCCTCACACGCACAGCATCAAATCTGTCATTGTGTATCTCCGCCAGTCTACCTCTAAGTTGCTCCACGGTCCCATCTGCTTCCCCACTTCCTCTCATAACACTCGTTCAGCTGACATTCCAAATAATTCTGTAACCCATACCTCCACCTGGCCTCTTCCGTCCCCTATTTTAAAGAATCCAGCAATACCCGGCTTAGCTCGCTTCTCCCACCATTCCAAGACACACGACCCCACATCCCTTGATCCCAAAAAGAGTGCCACCAATCCCCAAAAGCCTCAACTCACCCCTCCCCCTTCACATAGTCTCGCATTTAATTTCCAATAACCAGTGTGTATCCTAACCATACCCTCCCAATCAAGATCCGCAATAACCGCCCTGTGGTCCGAAAACCCCACATCGAAGGTCCTAACTCCCAGAACTCTTTATTGCCTCCGTAGCATAGAGCCTATCAGACGTGCAGCATAACCCCTTCGTACAAATGTATACTCAATCCTCCAACCACCTCTCCCCATACATCTAAACTCCCACATCCCCCAACACATGCGTTAAAAACCCCAACACACACCCCGCCCCCCTCGGTTCCACATCACCCTGTCGTATGACACAATTCCAATCTCCTCCTATCACAGTAACTAAGGCAATCCCCTCAAATAAAAAGCAAAACATCCCTCACGAAAGTTACCTTAACTGCTGCATTTCCATCGCCGGCATGTATTATCCTATAAAACAACCTTGTCTCACCCACTCTCCCTCTACCCGCACCACCCTTCCACCCCCACCTTCCTCCCACCCCAACACACGCAAGGGACTGGTTTCCTTCACAGCCACAGCAACCCCCCTTTTACCTCACCGATCCACTCACATATAACTTATAACCCTTCAAGCGCAACTCACATCCAAACTTGTAATTATGTTCCTGTATGAAACATATATCCACATCAAATCTCCTTTTATAAAAACCATTCCATCCACACTCTCTTAATTCAGCTCTCAGGCCGTTAACATTAATGGTGACCACCTTGAATTATTACAATAAAGGCGGCTTTCCCCGCCGCTTTGAAGGTTGCTTGAAAGACGTGGTTGTTGACTATATCCCACGTTTGTCACTTGGTCTATCCAGACCTCCGTTTCCCCCCTTTTCCTTCGACCCTTGCAGCACCACAGAACCGGTGCCCATTCCCGGTAGCTCTAGCCCAGTCTTCCAAGGTTTCTTTCCAGATCTTGCCCTGGCGTTAAGACATCTTCCATATCCGACGTCCCAGCTGATGCTTACGTGTGCCACTCCACACGTTGCCTCAGCATCCATGTCCTCCTGGTGCACCTCAAACCTCACCATGTGCGCTTACTCTCATTGCACAAGGTGTTCTCACACTTTTGTGCAGCTGCTACCCCTCCAATACACCTCCGTCTTCTCCCCTTCTGACTGTCTTCCACCTCCCCAAGAAGTCTTTCAAGACCTCGTCCAGCTGACCATCTGTTGTAAGTCACTTCTGTCAACAGTCTCATCCGTAGATGGTCGCTCAGACACAGTTCCCACAGGTAACGTGTCGCACGCTCCCATCTCCGACTCCGCTCTGTCTACTTCTTCACTCCAACTTGCAGACGCCTGTTGTGCAGCTTCACTTGTCGCAGGTGCCAAGGAGGGCAGCTGTCGTTCCCAGTTGTTGGCACCTGTTCCTCCGTCCCTGCCTTTGATGACATTGGGCCGCCATATGGTCATAAGACCCGCACAGCCTACATGTCCGACGCTGTCTGCATAATATACTTAAACTGTGTTCTGAACTCTTCCATCAGAACATACGATGGTATAGGTTGTCTCAATGTCATCTTCAATGTGAAAGACCCCCTCTGGCAGCCCATATAAGGCCCATCCTTCCACACTCCCAACTGTGCCGAATGGATCTTGCCATACCTACGGAATACCTCCACACCATATTCCAAGGCCTCAAAGGGGACATTTCTCACCTTTACCCACGTTACATAGCTTGATACGTTCATGTAGGCAGACCTCCACTGCAGAATTAACGGTCATCCTTTTTCTTGAAAACGCGTCGACTATGCTGGCATAAAACCCAGCACTCTTGAACTTGATGAAGATCCTGTACACTCCATTCACTGCTACACCATACAACTCTTCGTTCGGTATGCCATATACATCGCGGATAATACTTGGCAGCAGCACCTGCATTGTAGAACTACTCAGGGCACCACGTACCAGCACCACACAGACAGATATTCACCTGGTCCATGTCTGTCCGCCATTTTGATTTGCTCAAAACAGGTAAACTGCGCAGAAAAATCAAACTGAATCGGGAGCGCCTGCGCAGACGTCCACTCGGCCCGGAAGCGAAGAGGACAATGAAATTACTGTTAGGTAATTATAAAAGCACACACACACACACACACACACACACACCACACACACACACACACACACACACACACACACACACACACACACACACACATATATTATATATATATATATAGTTCCTTGATAATGTGAGTAGTCACGAAAGCGCTTTGGAATTTCTCTATTCTTTCAGAGTGGTTTGTTTTGTTAATATATTATTATATATATTATATATATATATTATATATATATATATTATATATATATATATATATATATATATATTGGTGTGTGTGAGGCAATCACGAACAAGCCATACAAGGGAGAGCTGAATGATAGCTCAAGTCTTTTCGGGTTACAATCAGCACATTATTAGGAGCTTGCAATGTTGTACAAATGAGTATTAGTGGCAGCTCATGATTTCCATCCCTGTGGGGATGGAAATCAACATATCCCATGAGGCAAAAAGGGAGTGACTCAGACAAGCGGCAAGTTAAAAGTTAGGACAAGGAGTGTGACTCGACCCTTGGAACTTCGTATAGGTTAGTGTACTTATATATATTATATATATATATATATATATATTATATATATAATATATAAATATATATATATATATATATATATATATATATATATATAGTACACAGAGGCTAAAATTATAAATACCCACACTTTACCCCTCTCCCCCACACCTTATAAATCCTAACTTTCTCACCCCACAACCAATATATTCCAACATCACAAGCCCAAACTTCACACCATCCATCCACCCCACTTCTCTCATCCTACAAGCTCTCATGCTACACCGACAGCCCACACATATACACCCACACGCCCACACACTCCCACATCCCTACTGCCCACAGACCAAGTTTACCCGCGTAAATTAAAATTTAATTAACATTTTCATTAAATATAATATGTTCTGATGTTAATTAAGACATATTCAAATTTTATGGTATTTTAATGTTCTTTTATTATTATTTCTATTATAGTATTATAATTATTTTATTATATTCACACACACACACACACACACACACACACAAATTCACACCAGTTTTGAAAGCCTATGTGTATGTATATTTAAGAGTTGAGAGATAGAATGAGAGAGAGAGAGCGTTTGTATGGGTGAGAGAAAAGGAACATATAAATATAAAGAGAGAATGCCAGTGAAAGAGAGTGATGGATGCAGAATAATAAAAATACTGAAAAAGAAGAAAAAGAGTATGAATGAAAAGGGTGAAAAATAGTTTAGTCTGGCGAGTATCGTCACGAGCTCTCAGGTGACCAATTCATTTTTCATTTCTCAGGAAAAAGATTAAATATCAACACTGTTATTTCTTCCTACTTTAAATATTTGCCCGACTGTTTGCACGTCTTGTTTTCTGTGTCTCTTTCTCTCTCTGTCTCTCTTAAACACTTTCTTACAGTCTATCAGTGTCTAGCTATCTATGATCACTCGTCTCTCGTCTCACTCTGATACATCCCAGAAAATAATCCTCCTCAAGAAAGCGTCTCTGACGGCTCAGAATATGGAGCATCCTAAAGTCCAGCATATTGGGTCTTGGAGACCGTGCCAGCGGTAAGGGCCACAGCGGGTAAAAATAGGCGAATACATATGCCGAAGGATTCTGTAATAATGTAGGAAAGAAGAATGGCCATCCCGTGTGGAGGAAGCCAACGAACCCGAGTACTAACTTGTGTATGTGTGTGTATGTGTGTGTGGGGGGGGGGGGGACGCGCGCGTGTGAAGTGGAGCAACTCTGCTCTTCTGTTGTATTAAATTTGGATTATTTCCTAAGTAATGCTAAAATGACTGAAGTACTGGAACTCTCAATCGTCGTACCTATAAATAAGGGTCACAGGGATGACCTGTTTACAATATTAGGACCTATTTGTAAAAGATGGACCTATTAGTTATAGGAGGGCCCATTAGAAATAGGACATATTAGTAATCAGGTCATCCATTAGGAAGAGATAGACCATTTAGGCAATTGAGGATCAATTAGCAATAGGATTTAATATTAGAAACAGGGAGATCTATTACTAATAGGAGTTCCTATTAGCATTACAAATATGGAAGAAAAAGGCCGTATTTCCATAAACAATTCTATGATACAAAACATGGCATGAGAACGATAAAATCTAACATATTAAACCTTGAAGGTTTTAGTGAGAAAGCTTCGGAAAAATCTTTCAAAACTGAATTGAAAACATCTATTGATAGAGATACCAAACAAGTTGTTTACACCATGGGGTAAACTAAAATAAAAATGCAGTTGTATAGACTTTCAGTCGTATGATATATTTTACAAAGTTCAAAGACAGTCAACTAACTGGATTCTAGAGACCGTCAATTATCATTACGTTCATGGGAAAGAACTAAGAGAGGGACTGTAGCTTCAGTTCCATAGATCAAGAGACCTTCAATAATATCAAGGTGCTCCTGTGAATGACAGAAAAAAGTGAATGCAAATACTAAATAAAATTATAAGTAGAAATATTTAGGAAGATGTGATCCTGTCAACAATATATAGGATTTCTGATTGGCATGTATATATATATATATATATATATATATATATATATATATATATATATATATATATATATATATATATATATATATAATATAAAATCTCGCAGACACATACGAAAACTAAACTTCAGGTCAGCACAATTCCGAAATCGCCGTTTGGAAACTGAATTCACCATCAAAAAATACACAAACTAATTTCAAACTGCGTTCATGGGATTAAAAAAGTGAATTATAAACTTTGGGCAAAGAATCCCGCGTTAAATAAAACCTTTCAACGTGGCCGAACTCACCACACAGCTAGGCTCTAAGCTTTTTGCAAATATATTTAAACTGGAGCCAGGTGTCGCCGGTACAAAGCAAGCGATAACTGGTGGGTCTGCAGTCCCCGATACACAGCGAGGGGACACTGTCGGGTTTCCAGTCCCCGATACACAGCGAAGGGAAACTGGTGGGTTTCCAGTCCCAGATACACAGCGAGGGGAAAATGGTGGATTTCCAGTCCCCGATACACAGCGAGGGGAGTCTGAAGGGGTTGGAGTCCTCGATACACAACAAAGGAGAAATAATGGGTTTCTGATCACCGATGTGTACTTGTTACACTCATTAATTAACATGTGTGTTAAATACCTATTATATCTCTAGTATAACTGTGACTTACCCGTCACAAAGGTGAACTCTCGATAGTAATTCAGCTCTTTAAGTCCGACTTCAGGTTTTATTATTATTATTTTTATTATTTTAGGGAAGCATTAATCCTAAAGGGTAATAGAACATCTAGGAAATAAGCGGTAATCAGGTTCAGCTAGAGGAAGGGAACCGTTGCCCTAATTTCTAGGATCAAGAGCCTTTCTCCAGCATCAAGGCACCTCTAACATGAAGGGAACACTGTTTCCCAAGCCATAGACGAGATCCGTTTGTTTTTGTGAGGACAGAGAGCTCAGAGCAGCCCTGGTCACTGCTCTTGGTCTATCATCTTTACGGTGTAGCAGTGAAGCCTGTACACTGCACCTGCCACCACTCTTCCCACCTAGCCCTCTACCCTTTCCCCTTGGGGTATCCTCTCCTAAAGATAGAGGATAGAGGGAAAAAGTGGACGAAGATTAACTCTCTTGATTAAGCAGGTAAATTCCACTAAGCAGTGAATATCTTTAGTGTTGACTATTCCAGTTGCAGGTAATTAAAACAGAGAGAAGAAAGGATCTGATTATTTCGAATTCTATCAGAGATCCTCATCAGCACTGGTCAGTTTTTATGACACTCATAACTCCACTGACAAGGTGTGTCTTGACGGCTTGCATAACTATTCAGGACAGAGCACAAGGAATAGATAAGGGACAATTGACAGTAAACAAATGAAATATCAAGGGTATGTATAAGCATGATATGGAAAAGATTGACAGAGACATGTTTGGAGATATATGCTTAAGGGTTGAAGGTATGTTGCCACACAGGCACATACTGCCTCAGGAAAGAAATATATAAATACATTAAGGACAGGCTAAGGATGAATCGGTAAGGCGGGTTTGCATTCATAATAAGTTTTACACCCTTGAACGAGGACAAAATTTATTCCAGAAAAGTGTGTGGCACAACCCTAAATAAAAGAGGGTTGTATCACCACAAATCAGTCATCAGTAGCATACCACCAAAAGTCAATGAGCAAATGATTACATGTCAGTCAAGAATCACAAACAAATCAGAAACACATAAGCACAAGCCATTCATTAGTTTTCATCCAGAATAAGTCAGCCAAAGACATATATATATGTCAACTAGCAAGCAAATACTACCATCAAAATTCAGTGAAATGCTACTAAATAATAAAAAGGCACAATACCGTGACTGGAACAACACACAAATAATCCGCACATAGGAGAGAGGAGCTTACGACGACGTTTCGGTTCGACTTGGACCATTTAGAAAGTCACACCAACAGAAAGGAGAGAAAGGGTCTGTATATATACTGCCTTCTCCTCCTTTCTTTTAGTGTGACTTTGTAAATGTGACTGTGTTCGGGTTAATTGTAAATGCAAGTATGTTCGAGTTATTTATGTAAAATGCTACTAAGTTAAGATTTCTTAACTAGAAGAAAAACATTGTAATAAGAGAGAGAGAGTCCCAGGAAGTAGTTCAAATGATTGTACCAACTCCCGAACAGAGGGTTCGACTCCATCACTAACTAGTCTTTAAACTAACAGGTAGGTGTGTTATCCACTGTACTTAATTGGAAGAATTTTATTACCCCGGCATCTTATAGTGGATAACGCACTGGTTTGTTACTTTTAATATATTTAGCA